TTTTATTTTCAATCGATTCTTACATTGATTCGGCCAAACTCGGATGCCTCGAGTTACAACTAGTTTTTAGCTTGCTCGATTAGTAACCACTCTAAAAAATAGGCATCTTTACACAACTCGGCTTCTTGAATCCTCCCTCTTTCCCATCTTCTTTAATTTCTTTTAAAATATCTACCATTGTCATTAATATTGATCTTTCTTTGTTTTGGGTGTGAATCACCTAGAGCAAGAGAAAGAAAGAGAAATCACTCAATTAATCACAATACAATAAAAAAAAATATTGATATTGATATCAAAAATCTATCTTGCAAAGTAGAATTTAATGAAGATGGTTTGAAACTTTTATCTTACATAAAAAAATAGATCAAATTCCAATAATATTTCTTATTCAATTTAATTTTAATTTTCTTATAGGTTGAAGGGTGTGTTGGGTTAAAAATTGGTTGACTTGGTTACTAGAATGTCATTTGTTTGTTTGTTTTTATATATATATGTACACACACTAAAAGGGATTAATGTTGCGTTGTTCACTTTTTTATTATTTACCTAAATACAAATCATTATAGATTAGAGTATTGTAATGATGTGAGTGTTCTTACTAAAGTAACTTGCTAGGCATGCAATTGGAGATATAATTGTCTTTTTAATGAGATATTTGGTATTGAAAGAATAATTGAGGATAAAATTTGGGTTGGGGTATAGATATTGCTTTGCTCTTTACGACATAAAATTTTAACCTTTGGATTGGGACTTTTATTGCCTTTTTTTTTTTAAAAAAAATATAAACTGTGAAGATACAATTATGTCTCTTGAGTGAATATACATGTGTTGAGTGATTTCTTCTTTTCTTGTTATTGAAGGAGTTTAAATATAAAATTACCCTTGAATTTCAATAAAAACAAGGTTACATATAGGGATGCTTTTGTTGTTTTCATATATTGATATATTGATAAGGCCCTAACATCTAGGCTTGACATTTTTGTTAAGGCTCTAGCGCCTGAGTCTGGTGTTATTGATTGGTTTAGACACTTGAATATGACATGTGTTGCAAGACTCGATGCATAGGTTTGCTATGGACCCTAATTATGGGTTTGACATCATTGTTAGCCAACTTTTATTGTCTTTTTTTTTTAAAAAAAAATATAAACTGTGAAGATACAACTATGTCTCTTGAGGGAATATACATGTGTTGAGTGAGTTCTTCTTTTCTTGTTATTGAAGTAGTTTAAATATAAAATTACCCTTGAATTTCAATAAAAACAAGGTTACATATAGGGATGCTTTTGTTGTTTTCATATGTTGATGAGGCCCTAACATCTAGGCTTGACATGTTTGTTAAGGTTCTAGCGTCTGAGTTTGGTGTTATTGATAGGCTTAGACACTTGAATATGACATGTTTGCAAGACTTGATGCATAGGTTTGCTATGGACTCTAATTATGGGTTTGACATCATTGTTAGCCTAAGTGTACTTAAACTCTAAATTAGAAGGAAAAATGAAGATTGAAAAAAAAATAAAAAAAGAAAAAGAATAGTTTAAAATCAAGTAGAAAATATGAAAAGCTAAGGTGAGGTAAAGCCTATGAATTTAGAAAAATATGTTCTAAAAACTCTTTTTTCACACTCTTTTTATAATGGATTTTGAAATAAAACCAAAATAAAATTAATTTTGATAATTACCACAATAAAATCCCTCCATTATCAACCTTAATTACCAGCTATAAAAATAGAATCAAAACCAAAATTATTTTCTTTAAATCAGACTTTTCTTGAATTGAAAATTCTTTTCAGGTTTAAACAAAAAAAAAAATAACTTATTAGATTTTTATTCATGGGATGAACAAACTAATAAGCCAACAAAAAAAATAGTCCACACCAAGCCTAGGCTGAAGTGCAAGCATGAGCCACACATACATGTGACTTAAGCCCAATGTTTATCGAGGAGAAACATATGAAAATCAAAGGTGAAGAAGAGTCTAAAAATCTGAAAATATCTATCCTACAAACTCTTCATTCAAGTCCTTTTTATAATATATTTTGGAACCAAAACTAATATAAAATTAATTCTAAAAATTGTCAGAATAAATTCTGTTCATTATCAACCTTAATTATCCACCATAAAATAATATTAAAATTGATAATTTTAACTTTAAATCTAATATTTTTTAACTGAAAAAATCGATCTACCCACCATATATAAACAACACGAAAACCGTGTTTTTTTTTTCTTATAAGATGAAGTTTTTGAGTTTTACAAAAACATATTAGTTAAGAATTCTTTGATATTAATTATCTCATTCACTAACTCACTAGCTCTCCCAATATGTTTTAAACATGTTAATTTTTAATATTAAAAAGCTTTTGTTGACTAATAAATTCCAATAAAATCTTAATATTGGACCCACTTTTAAAATAAAATCTCCAACAGCTTTTGCATGATAGAAAAAGAATAACCCATGTTCCCCAGTTTCTCTATCTAAATTGAGATGTTATTTCGTGAGACACCTGATTCGCTAGGCCCTTCGCATAACATTGTTCCATTAGGGATACAAATCCCTTTCAGCACTTGTCCCTATAAACCAAGAATCCCGCAGCCCTGTCTTCCCAAGAGTTTCAAATTAAGGTAGTGTTTTTTTTGTTGGGATAATAATTATTTTTTATAATTTTTTTATTTTAAAATATTTTTTTATTATTTTTTAAAATTTAATTTTAATTTCACCATCTCAAAAAAATTTAAAAACATACAAAAAAATTAATCTAAAATAGAATTTAAAAAACACAATTAAATAATAAAAACAGACACCGCCTAATTCCACGTCTATGCACATGCCAGGAGGGAGCTAGGAGCTAGGAAAATATAACATTCTAGCCCCCCATCTTCTCCTATATTTTCATTTTTCTCCTTATTGTTTTCCTATTTACAAACAAAGTCTTGAAGAAGTGAGTGAGCACAAACAAAAGAAGTTTCAATGAGGTTCGATGGCAATGGATCACAGGTGTCAATAAATGTATCATCTAAGCTGGTGGGCCACCTTCAATTATGCCCTCCGATCTCCAATCATTCTTCAGCTATCTTGTCTTGTTATATACATGAGATTGATTTTCTTTTTCCTTTTTAAGTTATAAAACCTCTCGACAATAATATATATTTTTAGATCAGTTTATCTATTATATATAATTAAGATTTTAAAAAAATAACTTTGAAAACGTGACTTACATATAAAATAATAAAAATATTCAATTTCTTCTATGTTAAATATTTCAACATAATTAAATTGTAATGAAATAAATAATTCAATAATAAAAATCTCATCATTAAAAATAGTATAAAATTATTTTTTAACATTTAGGTTTTTTTATACGCATTTTAATAATATATCAAGTTGATTTGAAATTCAGTAAATTCAAAACTAAAATTAGATTGAATTTTAAAAAAATAAAGTGATCTAATAAAAAATTTAAGTTAATTCAGTGATTTAATTAACTTGATAATATCTTATCAAAAATTCAATTATAACTCATTAATTATTTAATTTTTAACAAAAATAATATCATTTTATTTTATAAAAAAATAAAAGTTAATCAATAATAACTTGGTAAAAACATATAACTCAAGTCAACCACCATGTTAAGTATAAAATTTAAAATATTATTCACATATTACTATGTTATAAACAAACATGAAAGAATAAAAAATGATCTTATAAGAGACTTTGGTCATTCCACTTGCTTTCATATTCTCCTGATATGATAAAAAATTTAAATTAATTTAGTGATTTAGTTCACTCGATAATATCTTGTTAAAAATTTAATTGTTATTGATTAATTAATTATTTTTTAATAAAAATAATATTATTTTATTTTATAAAAAAATTAAAAATTAACTTAAAATAACCCAATAAAAAATCATGAAGATATTATTCACGTGTTCATGTTACTATGCTGTAAACATATAAAAATGAAGAATGGTCTTGTAAGAGACTGGTCATTCCACTCGCTTCCATCCTCTTCTGATCCATACGTCCTTTCTTCCCTTTTCTTCTTGTTGGGTAAGTTTCTAGTCCATTAAAGTTTTGGAGGTTACCTACGAATAAAGAAATTATACAGCCCACGAGATATTTCATATTCTCTCATCAATTTTATTTTTTTTAATTTCTGTTTCCCCTCTCACTCTGGAAGGCACTTCTATCCATATATACAGACATGGACAAGAAAGTAGAGTTATAATAAGTTCTTAGAGGCTAGAAGAGAGGGGAGGGGGATGGCTAGCGGAGAGGTGGTGGAGAGAGCTGAGTGTGGGTGCTGTGGTATGTGGGAAGAGTGCACAATGGGATACATAGGTTGGGTGCAGGAGAGGTTTGGTGGGGTGTGGGTGTGTGGTCTTTGTGAGGAAGCAATCAAGTATGAGCAAGCAAGGTTAGGAGTAGGAGTTGAAGTTGCTTTGAGGATTCATGCCACATTCAGAGAGACTGCAAATGCTGATCCTCCCATTCACATAGCTCAATCCATTCTCCAACTCATCAAGAAGATCATGTCCTCCACTTTTTCTTCACCCAACTAAGGTGCCTTTGCCATGATGCTTGCTAACTTTGATGATGCCAGTAAGAAGGCTGAAGGGAGAGTTGACTGATATAAGCTTGATGTTCTCACTGTAAATTAGGTCAGCTTTATGTTCCTTCCTGACTTGTATGATTGTCTCTGTTATTGATAGGTCCTTGCTTGTTTCTGTAAGATTCAAGGTTTTGCTTCGCATTACTTGAAATTGCCAGAAGCCAAAACAGTAAGAACCTAAAGTCTACCAGATGTTGAAAGAATTCAAGATGTGAAGAGGGAACATAATTTAAGAAAATTAGAATGATTGAAGCCAAATGTTCTGAGCAGTGTCCAGAGTAGTCCCAGCCTAGTTCGGTGGCCAAACCCCATCCTCGCATTAAATTCTTGGGACAATTATCAAAATAGATTATCACCTGCCAAACTCAACATTGCAAAGTAAGAAGCCTGATTAGATACACTAACAAATCCATTCAAACATGTATATCCAAGAATACTTCTTCACAAATCAGTGTTTCAACTTCATATTTACTCAATTATAAGAAGTCAGCAAAGTGCCTAGAGTTGCATGAAAAATCTCAATCCTTTGGACACCAACCAATCATGTCCATAGAAAATACATTTACATGATTTTGCCTTCGTACACGCACCAGTCATTTTCAGTTAATGGTTGGGCCCCAAAAGAGCAAGAAGGAAAGCCCGATAATGGCCTGAAGTTTCTGAGTGAACTGCGTCATTCAATGTCTTCTTGTACTTCTTCAGATATTCAGCTTTTATATAATGCATGTCAATCTCAGTCCTTGTAACGATTACCCTTATAAGTGCAGTGTCATTAGTTCCCATGCCCTTCATCGCCTTGTGCAGCACCTGTAAAGTTTGTGAAATGATAGGATTTATCAACGACTTCAAGATAAATTATAATATCATGTAAGTAAATAAACTGAACAATTTCACAAGAGACGGGATCAAATCTTGATTTCACCCAGAGGCTGGGAGGTCAACCCTGTAGCATACTCCAACTACTGAAATAAGATGAATATTAGCATAACTGGGAAATTCAAATGGAGGTTCTTTTTAAGGTTTTGAGTACTACTACAGGCCTGGTGTTATTCGAATGATAAAAAATTATAATGACAACAGCTGTGGAATACCACAATCAGCTATGTGATGCATCATGCACGATTATCATGCCATGCATGATTGACTCATGAGATTGCTTATAAGGTCACTATGGATATCAGAAGACGCAGACTTGCTGGACAGATCAACTTCAATCTGTTTCAACTTCAGTTTTCACAATTTTGTTTTCTACATGATCTATACATTCTGAAAAATCATTTTTCTAAACACTGTCAAATAAAGAGTGTACCACGTTTATGTAACAAACTAGATTCCTATAATCTACACACAGTTATTAGTTCACCACATCATACAAACACATTCAGTGACACCATGCTACTTAATATGCCTTCAAAACATGATTTGCCTTGATCCCTGACTTCATTTCATAAGAAAATGTTTTCACTGTAACCAGATGAAGCAGAGAGAGCCAAGTCGAAGATGTTAAGAATGTAGAAGAATACCTTGGCAAAGTAATTTGCTGGATTCTCTGAGCATAGTAAAATTGTCTTCAAAGCATGCTCAAAATGTCCTGATGTTTCCTTCTTTATAACCTGGAATTGTTACAAATAAATTTGCCTCACAGAATAACCACAGACAAGAGAGAGAAAAGAGAACTTTAATATATCTACCTTTTTCAAAGAGTTTCCATACATGTCATGGTAGGCAGAATCAACTGCAGCCAAATGTGCTGCACTTCGTTCACTGAATATGTGGATGAAAGTCTTCTCATCAGTTCCCCATTTTTTCTCACCTGCTTTATAAAGAGCCTTTGCATCCTTCACAACCATCTCTCTATCAACTTCCCGACCTTCATACCGAGGCATACTTGCATATGCTAGCAGGAGCTAAATCAAGTATATTATAATAATACATCAGGAACTTGTGTTTCCTTTATTGAATATTAAATGAAAATGCTGACAAATGAACTTGGATGAAGAAAAAGAAAAGGTGGTGAACAGGGAAGGTCATGATAGGAAAATTAATAGCATACAAATAGAGTGAACAGAATTCTAAACTAAGGGCTAATGTTGCTTCAACAAAAATCCCAATTATTGCAATTAACCTCCTATTGTGACAGCAGAATGAAATCTAATGGTGGGTCGGTCCAACTAAACTTTTAGGCAGCAGCCACGCTATTCCAAATCTTATAAAGGCGAGCAGCAACAGATTGTTCAGCAACAAACATCTGTTTTTGAAATTCCATGCTGGCGTTTTATATATATATATATATATATATATAGTCATCTAACAAAGTCTTACATCATGATAATAGACAAATACTAAATTGGTGAACAGAATGAGACGGCAATTAAAGAGAAAATGAGATAGTTTACCTTTTTATGATCTCCAGATGCACATGATTCAATGTCACGCTCAAGGTGAATTCCAAACTTGGCATGGTAATGTTGTTTAAAAACTTGTATCTGGGATGGCGTGCGAGAGCAGATCACTTCAGTTGCAGCTTCCAGATTCATTGTGTTTATCATCAGTGCCTGCCTGACAATTATAGCATCACGTCCAGGTAGATCGTGCATCCAAAACAAAACTGCTGTCTGAAATGCAAAAGGAACAAATATTAGAGTAAAATATGCAGGAACAGAAAGTTCTTATTTGAATTATGAAGATCCAAAAGTATTTAAAGCTTTGAAAACCATGTGTGAGTAGATATAACACTATACCTCTAAACTGCCTGTAAGCTCTGAAGACAAGCGCTTAAAAAGATCCTCAGAGTACAATGTTCTGTACTCGTGTTGGATGAGGGAACGTTGTGCTGCATCTCGATGAGCCAGAATATTGATTACTGCGGATGTATCAGTTCCCAGTCCTATTATAAACAGAACACAACAAATTCAATACAGGAGATCATACATTTGAATTTTTTTTTATTGTCCAATCAAATGACAATCAGTTTCGCATTTTTTTCATAACACTTCAGCAAATTTGGTTTATCACTGTGATAGTTAACTTCTATGAGCAAAACAGGTGTCGCCTTGATTAACTGAAGATCTCTTAACAAGGTGAATATCTAATTTCCTAGAGTCCATATGCTAAGACTTGCCACAATTTTTACAAACTCATTATTCATGAAGGTTAACTGGTATCTGTGACAACAAGAAATTGCCTGAATTATGAAAGTTAAAACAAGGGGCAAAAGCAAAATCAATCGCTGTTTGAAAGATAGGTAGAAGTAGGTTATTTGACGTAGTATGGAGAGGAAACCTTAAGTTTCGGTACACATTGCAGAATTTCACTAAAAGTTCCCTTTAGCTCAAGTTCACAACCTATTATACAAGAGAGCTCCTTTGTCACTAAGACAATTTAGCTATTAAGCAAAGGTGACTACCTAGTCATCAAGCCAAAAAAAAAAAAAAACATAAAATAATCTTAACCAATGCATCATCTCTTTAGTCATTAAGCAAAATAAATGCAACGTAATATTAGCATGCTCCTGCATCATTATTATTTCCCAGAAATGATGTGGTTTTTCAATGACACATAATGGAAGTTCAAAATAGGAAAGGACAATATATGGTAATTTAACTATAAACAACAATAAAAGCATAGAACATGAGATGATTTAACAAGATTTAGCTAAGGAAACCTTATATGCCTATAGCCCTTCATTTCTAACATTCATGGTTATATTCTAACCTGCTGAGCTACATGTACCACTTTCCTAAATTCTGTGTTTTATTCATTGAAGAGCGCCCTACCACCACTTGACTACTAAGGGAAAAGCCCTTTACCATGTATATAAAGATAGCTACAACCAAATGCCTTGTCCTCAAAATGATGAGAAAGATAATATTGTCATACTGTTCTTTTCCTATCTGTTTCATCATTCTATACAGATATACTTGTAAAATGTATTACCTACTTGTGAGGGCACCAGACCCACACCACAGATTACATAAGTTAACAGACAAAGACGATGTAGGATGACCCAGCCTGTTATTATTTTGTTGGGAGACTGGGCTCATTTGAGCCTATTTCATTGTTTTATTTTATTTATTTGAGTTATTTATGGTAGACAATTTTAACTGATGGGTTAAGCCTAATAGTTGGATGTTTTAGGGTTATATTATTTATATGTTTCTCTTTCAGTTGTGAGACAGTTTTTGATGATGAAATAAAAAAGACAAACTTTTCCCTTACTGCATTCACTTTTTCTTCCTGAATTTTCCCTTTCTTTGCTTCTAATTCTTAATTTCTTTCTTAAAAGCTTATTTATTTCTTACTTTAATTATTTTTGTTCATTGTTCCGCATCACCTACACTTGAATTAAGGTAAGTACAAGAAATTTAGCATATTGTCTTTCCAAGCTTCCCTGTTGGAATGTTTACTTCATGTGCGAAAAAGAAAAAAAAAGACAAAAACCCTATCCTCTTGTATTAGTTGGTGGCATATCAGGCAAGTAAGATTCAAAGGAAAATAAAGGAACACCTCAGTTCAAATAGAGAAGTTCTTTGTTTTAACATGTAAGATTTGTCATGAAGTGGGAAAGCCCACCAAGCATCATAAAGGTTAACAATTCACGTAACAAGTATCAATTATTGCTCTTCCAACATGACCCAATTAAATATATTTTTCTGTATATATATGTAAAGGGTTAAATAAAGATGCCAAATTTCTCTAAAATTTTCAAACTTTAACTGATGTCAAGAACATATAATGAAAGAAACACCAAAAGGAGCATAAACCCACCAAAACCCATCAACAAAGCAACCAAAAGAAGATATCATTGACACAGATAAGGAGATTAGTACCTTTAAAGGCTCGGAAGAGCTGCATAGCATCATCTCTAGGGGATGAAAGCACAGGAGGAACACTTAAAGTTGCCATCTTTTTCCTTAAGAATGATCACAGTCTTTATTCCTCCTCTCTGTATCTCCTCCCCCTTTCTCCTCAGGGGTTGAAATCGAAAATAGACTGAGCAGTTGTGTGATGTGGTTGAAGTGGGATTAGGGTATTAATTGCAAATGACCAGTTATGCTGTGTTTGAAAAATCTCTCTCCTCCCTCCTTTTCGCTGAGCTACAACTCTATCCATAATGTCTTTCTGACAGTTGAATAAGTCTTAAAGGGTTGGCTCCCCTACAAGCCTAAAACACATGCTCACATGTGAAATAAATTTTCCTTTTGTGCCTTGTTGATAAAAAATTTAGAAAACCAGTTTTGATTCATAAGATTGGAACGAGACTATAATGAATTTATAAGGAAGACTTAAAAGAGACGGAGTTCACTATAGTTTATCAATAATAATAAATTAATTCCCATAATATTATAATAACATAAAGGTTTTTTTTTTTAATTAATATGAGTGTCCGAGTCAGATTGCGACTAATTTCACGGTCCACTGAACATCCTGCAAGCCCAGTGAACAAGTAAAGCATCGTGGGGATGATAAACATACAACATAGAGAGAATCCAGTAGAAACACGAAGAAAACAGCCCTTCAGCCTCACTTCCACTAGAACTTGAATCAAAGTTCAAAAAAAAAAAATTGTCCCATGGAGCCACAACCTAATAGTCAACATAGAGGTCTTTTGATTAGAGTTGATTTAGTAATATTTTTAATTAAAAAATGTTTTATTTCCCAATTAAAATCTCTTGTCTTGCCCACTTCTCTAAGTATAGTTAATAAATACATACAGGTCTTCTTTTACATAGTATTATAAATACATAGAGGTCTTGTTTATCAATAATAATTAATTAATTCCCATAGTAGTATAAATACATAGAGGTCTTGTTTTACAAACTTAAGAATATAGAGAGTAAATGTATAGTTTATAAAATCGTGAGCACTAATTAATTAGCTTACTTATGTTACAAAGCTAAGTTATAAATAAATTTAAAAATATATGGATTAAATATATAGTTTTTTAAAACAATGAGGACTAATGAATTTTATTAAATTATAGCCAACATTTGACCGGATGGTAACTTATGCACGGCCAAAACTTGCAAGCCTTACACTTTCTATTGTTTAATAGGGGTAGATTATAAATTAATAATGATAGGAATATTAAAAAAAAAAAAAGTGACCTATTAAAGTGTCCTTAGAGCATCTGCAATCGGAAAAAGCTAAATTGATAAATTTAAAATAGCTATTAAAGAGTTGAATTGATAAAATAATATTTTAAATAGTATAAATATAATTTTTTATATTATATATATTTCAATAAAAAAAGCTATTTAAAAGGCTAATTATATTGAAGTGTAAAAAATAAACGTTTTATTTTTTTAATAAATTTAAATTTTTTTCACATGACTGAATTTATTTGATTTATTTTTTATTGGCCTTGCTTTCTTGCTTTTTATTTTTTTAAGAGATATATAAAAATAATATTTGTAGGAGAAAAAAGATATTTTAATATTTTATTTAGCACAAAACATGTAAAAAAATTAAAATAATATTTTTTTAATTTTAATTTTCCACAACCTAGAGTTGCTCTTGATCATAATCATTTAAAAAAAATGCTTCCAGTGCACGACCTTTTCATAATTTATTAAAGAGAAACTTTCTCACTCGAAACCATCAAAAAGAGACGGCATTTTCTAATTGATGGCCTCATTTATCCATTTCACATATTTTTAAGCAAACCTTTCAAAATATCCTTCAATTATATAATTAATTTTAATTTTGCTTTCAAATAGTTTTTTTTAATATAAATTTAATATTCAAATTTTCAAAAATTCTTAATTAAAGACCTATTTATTTTTAATGTTTTTTTATTTATATTTTCATGTTAAATTTAATCAATCCAATAGATATCCAAACATGCAATCTGATGAAAAATTGATTGAGTTATGTTTTAATTTTTTTTAAATAATATTTTTTAAAATTTTTAAATTTTTTTTAAAATAATATTATTTTAAAATAATCATAATTAATCTAGATGAGTCATATAACTTATGACACAGGATATAAACTAGAGTAGTTTTTATAATCACACCTTTTTGTGTGTGAATTGTTTTAAAAACATAAAATAAAAGAGGTAAGACCTGTTTTAATATAGTAATCGCCTGAAATCTAATTTGGTTCACGGCGTTGCCTTCACAGCTAGAATATTGCATAACATCAAATGAATATTATTCAATGTTTAAATATTGATTATGTTGGAAAACGTTTTACTTATGGCATCATAGATGGAAAAATATTATTGAAAATTATAGTGTTGGTGATTTATATTTTATCAATTATTCTATCGATAATATAATCATTAATGAATTCACACATGAAAATCACATGTCAAATGAAAAAATTTACTAGCATTCATTTTGTTAATAAATTCATTTGTGATTACGGTATATTATCAAAAAAATAAACTGTTGGTAAATTCATCGATGATCATATGCATATTATTAACAAAATTAAATTGTCAAATATTTACATTTAACAGTAACAAGTCCTATAATATTTTCTCAACTCTCTAGAACTCTCTGAGGAATTTAGTTTGTTGATAATTTTGTTGGTAGTGTAAATTTTATCAGTAATTTTATCAATATTATATTTAATATTTAAAAAAATAAAACAAAATTAATTAAAAAAGAATTAAACTAAATAAAATCAAATTTTTATTATTAATTTAAAAAATATTATTGAAAATAATTTATCTGATAGATAGAAGCTAGAGGAGGAGGGGGAGGGGAAAGTGAATCTTTACCGGAAACAAGAAGGCACCGAGATTAACCAAATGTACTAGTATGGGTTGCCAACAATTACTTAAGGATATTCATTTTATCTCTCAAGTCGGTCAACTTAAGACCTAAGTTGGGTTGCCTTAATACTAAGTTTGGTCATTTGAGGTTGAATTTATTATCATATAATTGCCTAGACGCCCAGAGATTTCTGGCTTGATCCCAATTGCTAGGAATGAACAGTCAACACACTACTGTTCATCAATAAATCCTTAAACATGGTGTTGGAGATATTGTAAACTTGATTTCTTTTTGATACACTAGATGATCTAACTTTCAACCACAAATCTAAATTGAGCTTTGAATGGGTCAAAGTATCGTTCTTGTATCTCTCATACAATTGGATGTTATATGTTTCTTAAAAAGACAAGTTAGCAAAATTTTTTTAAAATATAATAACTTAAAAAAAAAAGTTAAAACCCAACTTACTGCAAACTTTTAAGCTCTACTATCTATAAGTTATTGCACCCTTCTTCTATAGTTAGCATTTAGTATGTGAGTTTCAATAAAAAGCTCCATCGATCTTGAATTGTGTCCAAGTATCATACCCTATAAAAGAAAGTTATTGTTAGTTAAACATTTTCATGTAATACAATAATTTAAAAAGAAGAATCTTATCTCATAAAACAAAATCTTACTATCTGTTTTGTATGCGAATGAAATTAATTTATCAATGTGCATGATCCATTTTGTATGCAAATGGAATGAATTTGTCAATATGCATGGTAACAGAATCATAAAACTCCCTAGTCTGGTTCCCCACACTAGACATCAATTATTATGGCGTGTATAACATTGAATGACGCATCTTCCTCTTGGATCAATAAGGTTTTTGTTATGTTGGAATTAATCATGAAATTATGATTCGAAGGGTTAAGAAATCACTATTGGTATTATGATCACTAGAAAACCTACTAGTTTATAAAATTCTGAGTAAAGGGATTAATAGTGCATGAAAAAAACACATCACCCCTAGTGCATCTTATCTATAGTAACTTGCATTATTAATTGTTTTTTTAAATTATGGTTCTATTCGTTAGTTTGTCTAATGTTCAACAAAGGTTCTCCTCAATAAAAAAAAAGTTTATATCTTATGGATTTGAGATAAATCATTCTCAATTCTAGAGGCTTAAGATAGATTCCTTTTAATAAAATGATTTATGTTTTATCAGGCTAAAATCTAGTTATTTTAATGCCTTAGATTTTAACAGTGTATTTAGTTCTATTTTGTATCTTTAATATCTTAGAATATACATTACTGTGTAATTTAATACCTCTAAATATTAAATTCTATAATTAATTCTTAATATTTTATTTTTTCAATTCACTTAATTTAATATCCATAATATACATTACATTGTAAAATTTATACCTCAAGTGTTAATTGAACATATCGATTTTTGTGGTGTTTTTTTCAAACCTTTTGATTTATTTTTTAGAAACTTGGCCATAAAAAATTTAAAATAATGTTGTATTTTTTTAAAAAAAGATTTTTTTTTTATTTTAAGAAACAAGTTTATTCAATACTAGGAAAAAAAACCCTATCATGTAGGTCATAATTTCAAATATTAAATATAAAGGGGTAAAAATAAAGTGAGGACCCAAGATTAATCGCAAAATACTTCCTTGAAAAATCTAGAATTAAATTGAAAAGATAAAACCTTAAAAAAATAGAAAAAAAAGGCTTCCAAAAAATGTATTTTTTTCTTTGTAAAATTTTGCATAACCAAACATTTCCTTAGGCTTGGAATGGAGCTCTACCATGTGGGATGAGCTTCTTGGCTGAAAGTTTAAGTCTAAAAACTATATCCAAAAATAAAAAAATAAAGATTAAGCAAGGTTTTTTTGCTTGAAATTAATGAAGAATATAAAAAACAAGATAAAGAACCCAAAAATATGGATGAAAATATAGAGTAAATCATGTTAAATTGAAGACATAAAAGGATTTAGTATAGGAAGCTAATGTATAATCTAGTATCTAATAGCCAAACAATCTTTGATTATTAACATATCAAGTCTATAGTTAAAAGCTTTACTCGAATATTCAATTCAGAAAAAGGAAGAATAAGAAAAAATAAAGGAGGAGGAGAGAGAATCTAGTGTGTTATAACTTAAATTATAAATAAATTTACAGGTGAATATGAACTATATTTACATTTTATC